CCAAGCCTTTTCCAGTTTCTACTACTCCTTTCACTAAGATCTCAGATTCCTTAAATGCAGATCTAGGATTACTCCACCTGAAGGACTGAATCCTTGACTGATGTATTGCAATTCCCAAAACCTGGACCCTGTTCTTGGTGCCCCCTCATCTCCCCGCCAATTTTCTCAAGGCATATTCCCTGAGTTAGAGATGTGGTTTTCATATTAAATGGAGAATGGATACTCTGCCCTGAATCTTGCAGAATGATTAGTTGAATATGAACAGTTTTCCTGAGAATACCTGGGTTTGCCGCGGATGTGGTATTTCATCTGACGACTCTTTCCTGAGTAAGAGTGCTACACCTACTTCTCTGGGCATTTTGTACTGTTTGTCTCACACCAGTATTGATTTGTCATTCTTGGCACATAACTGTCAAAATTTTGACAGTGCATTAATCTCTCTCTTTTCCAGCCCCTCTTCCCACATATTTCAGTAACTGACCCATCAATCTTACTTTTCAAAAGTGAGTATGGAACTAAATAAATCTAGTTGACAGTCATTTCATGAGCCAGGTGCACAAAAATTGGTAGGAATGTGACGCTTAATGACATTCTTACTCATGCGATAAATTTCTCCCAACACTTAAAATCTAGAAATTGTAAGATACACTTTACTTCTGCGTATACCTCTATTTGCTATTATAATGCCTGTCATTAAAGCATTTTTGTGACTTGTTCCATTTTAAAGAGGTTATTTAGCCTTGAAAGCAAATGTACCCCATTTTATTCTGCCAAATGATTTCTTTCAGCACAGTGTCTTCAAACATCAATTGTCAGATTGAATTTTGAATTGTAAAAGAACACATTTTGAGGAAAGATTTCATTTACACTTCATTTACACAGTATTGTAAAATGGTATTATGCATAGAAATTTTTAGTATTTTGTGTAAAGAAAAAAGATAAAGTCAATATGGTTAGGGCAATGAGAAAGCAGTGGCTTCCCATTTAACTGGACAGTTCTGTTTTTAAGTTATAACTCTTGAAAATTCAAAGCATTGCATACCTTGAATGTTTACATTAAGATTTTGGCATTTTCAAGAAAAGAGAAACAAAGATAGTTTGGGGGAAACAGCATCTTTTAGAATGGCCCAGAAAGTGCATCCACCAACTTTTGCTTAACACCACTATCGCCTTATTAGTTGGAGTTGTTTGAGGTTTCCTGGGCTTACAGAATAGAAGACTTTAATGTCCCTGGGGAGTTGTTTAAAGTAGATTTGCTTTTTTTAAAGTTGGTTTACAACATTGTGTGAAAATTCTTCAGAAACTGGGAAAAGCTGCTAAGTGGAATCTGAGATCACTGGAACCACAGCTTTTAGTGATTTGTCTTTGGAGAGCAGGTAGGTCAGTAGATCACTGTTTGTGGTTGAATTGGGTCCCCCCACAATTCATATATTGAAGCTCTAACCCCCTCATCCCATATCTCAAAATAAGACCTTCTCTTGAAATAGAGTTGTTGCAGTTATAATTAGTTAAGATGAGTTTATACTGGAGTGGCCCAGGAGCAAACTCATTGTGTATTCTTACAAAAAAAAGAAATTTGAACACTGATAGAAAGAATTAGGTGTGATACCTGCAAAATACCTGCAAGAATTTAGCGTGTGAAAAGAAGAATTTAGTATATGATAAATAATTCATTCTAAATAAATGGGGAAAGAATACATTATCCAACAATTAAGATTACAACTTGATAATAATATTGAAATAAAATAATATTTTTGTTGCTTTTCCAAAGTTGTGTGATTCTAGATAAGGGCTGAAGAGTAAAAAATTTAAATTGTGTATGGAGTAAAGGAGAATATGGGTGAAATTTAAATGATTGTGTCATGGACAATATCTTACTGAGGAATATATGTAGGAAAGAATCTGTAAAGAAAGTATCTCTAAACACAGATTTTAGAAATGATTAAACTTGAGAGACAAATTTTAAACAGGGATTTGCTTGAGTCTTGAATGGCTGACAATTGAATCCTTGATATATTAATTTCTTAGAAAGTAATAAGAAAGAGTAATATATTAATGGAAGAATAAGCAAGTGATATAAGTAAATTATATATCTACACAAATGATCATATATATGTACATGCTTACACATATAAAAGAGATGAAATTCTTGTTAAAATTCTTATAAACATATATTGGAAATAAAAATGCATTTTGTAAATAAATCATTAATGATGTGACAATGTGTTTCAAATGCATTAATAAATGGCAAAATTAGATTATAGAGCAATACATATTGTTAATAAATGCATGTAATTGCGCATGTACCATGTACATGTATACACAAGTGAAAAAGACAAAACACACAGAGCAACATTTTAAACATTATTTGGAGTGGAGGGATTGTGAATGATTTTTTTTTATTCTTTCTGTTTTTGTGATTTATAAAGTTCTATCATTAATGTAATTTTATTTTATACCTAGATAAATAAAACAGACCTAGGACAAAGCAACTGAGGTTCTGGTAGCAAAAGAATCCACTATAACTTATGTGGTTGGAGTGTTTGCATTCTCCTTGTGATAGGTCAAACACATGTCGCTACTTACCAGATTCCTCTTCATGACACTAAGCAGATTGGGCCTCAGCACAATTACTTTCCCAGCACAATGTTCTCTCTAGAGAACTCTAACCACAACCACATGCACTACTGCGTCCCTTCTTGAACAAAATAGTAACCTCCTGAGGACATTTTCTAAATTATTCAATACTAATCACACCAAAGAAGTTATGTAAAAGCTCAGTTATGAAAAGAAAATGACAACATTATTATTGATGAAACATTTAATTTCAAAAAATGATATCATTAAATATTTAGTTTTATATTCTTTGCTGATAAGATATTCTTCTAAAGCTTTCTTTAAATGAACACCATGATTACACATCTAACACAATTCTTTTGGGGATTATTTAAGAGAATAAAAAGGAAGATTTAAGGTTCTCACTACCCCTTTTCTTAAAGGCATACACACTCCAGAAAATTCAGCTGAACATGAGGACATACACTGGATAACCTGAATCTTCATTGTTAAGATGAGAAAACAATGGTGTCAGAAGTACGTCTTTGTCTTACTAGCAACAACTCAAGATGTGCCAGTTTGATAACTTCCCTCCATCCATCTCCAAATAGTTAGAAACACCAAAAAGAAACGAAGACTTATGACAACAAGCAAGAAGCTGGAAAGCATTATGCTAAGTGAAATAAGCCAGACACTGAAAGTCCAATATTGCATAATTTCACTTATATATAAATTGGAATTCTGAAAAGTCAAACTCACGTTGATTGCCAGAGACTGGGGGACCTAGAGGGAAGCTGGTCATGGGCACAAATTTTCACTTATAAGATGAGCAATTTCTGTCTATGCATACATGGAGACTATAGTAGATGTGACCATGTAGCATGCTTGAGGTGTGCTAAGAGAATAGATCTTAAGTCTTCTCACCACACACACACACGCACACACACACACACACACAAGATGACTGTGTGAGATGGTGGATGTGTTTATTAATTTAATTATGGTAATCATTTCACAATGTATACATGTATGAAATCATCACCATATACACCTGAAAAATCAGATTGTACACTTGTCAATATGTGCAACTTTTATTTGGCTGTAGACCTAAAAAAGCTGATGTGAAAATAGAAGTGAAGCATCAAGGATTTCACCATGAGTTATGATGACCTTTGCAGTAGAGGGAGGGCCAGCACTGAAGTGACTGGAAGTGGGTAGAACACCAGAAAGGCTCAGCTCAGTTCTGTTTTGTTATCTGGACATCAGTGTGTTTGGTTTGTGGAAACTTAGCAGCTGTTTGCTTGTAACAACAGTTTCATCCAATGATAGTCACATTAACATCGTTCCAGATTCTATGAACATTGATCATGTGTTTTGTTTACTATCCAATGTTTTCTTAAGGATCATTTTTTTCGTTAAAACCAATGGGGAAAAATGCATACATTTTACATGCTTACTTTACTCAATTTTTATGGTTGTAAAGATAAAGTGTTTTGGTGCATATTTATGTAATTTTCTTAGAAGTTTTATATATTTTGAGAAATAATTCCACAAACACTAAAAAAAAGTCTGTGGTTAGATTCTGTTGGTAATTTATAAGGCTAGATTTCAAATTGTATTAAGTGTCTGAAAAAATGAATGACGTTCTTATAAACAAACAAACGAACTCTCTGATTTGGCATGATCATCTGACTAGATTTGCCATAATCTTAGGACTCAAAATTTTTCTTTCCAGCATGAATTTACTAAATTCAAAGAAAACAATCATACAGCATCAAAAGGACAGAAGCTCTCAGCCCACTACCTACAAGGTGGTTTTAGGTGTGTTTAAATCTGTGAATCTGAACTGCTTTTAGACAAGGTTGAAACAAAGAGGACTCAAAGATATGAACTTTTCCCGGTGGGAAAGGCAGGCATCAGCAGTTATAGACTGGAGAAGCTTCCTTAGGGTTCCCTGAGCACAGAAGACAGTGTCACCTGGACACTGGTGTCATCAGGAAAGATGTCACCTCACAAGCATCTTAAATTAACTGAGTGAGCTTGGGCAAGACCCCTGATATTTCGTGAGCCCATTTTCTTGTCTCTTATATGGGGAACCTACACTAACCTTTGGTTTCCTTTGGGATTAAAAAAAAGAGTGACTAATGCTCCTGTTGGGGAGCCATCCTGCAAACTGATGTCACTTTCAGCGCAAGAGCACCGTGGAATGCTTAGCACTGTCCTTTTTCCTGCAGGAAAAAGAGGGAACAGCCTGTGTGAAGTCCAAGGCAGGGGGTGCAGTTGTGCCTATGGAGCAGAGTGGGCAAGGGGAGGGACTATGGTGAAGAGTCAGGTTAAATGTCACTGAAAGTACATCAGTGTTTTTCTAGAAGGAAATGCAATGTTTGATTACAGTAGTGGTGTGATATAAATTGCTTTTTTTTTTCTTTTAATGCATGTTATGTGTGGAAATGATCACAGGACCATCTTGCCTGCCTGTTGAGAAGGCATCAGGAAGACCAAAGGTAAGTCAGAGGCTGGTTAAGAGGCGCTTATCCAGGTGAGAGATGCTGGTGGCCCCAAGGGGCATTTAACTCATTCAACATGGGGGTGATCAGAGTGGTTGGATTTTGGATGTTTTCTGTAGGAAGACTCATCCAGGATTTCTGGCAGATTTATATAGGATATGAGAGGAGACAAATACTTCAGTTTCATGGGAAAGTAGTCTGAGGGGAAACAAAAGGTTTTTACATTGAAAATCTTATATAGTTTTGTTGGTGCAAAGTATATTCTTTCAAGCAAACTGAACATAAAGCAATGACATGAGAAATAAATGAAAGTGTTGCCACACTGGGGCCGGGAGTATTAGGAAGGCAAGTCTCCACAGGAAGCCTGTATTACCAGGAGCTGCGTTCTGCTAGCCCTGACCTTGGCAGGATACCCCATTGTGGGCGCTGTCAGTTCAGCTCATTCCCACCAACCAAAGTTGAAGTGGCATTTATGATTTCTTTAATTGAGATCTGCTGGCTTTTGACCTTGGGATTTCCAAATTTGTGACTTATTCTTCCTCGCAATCTTCGCCAGCCTATCCTAAAGAAGAATTTCATATTGCTGTCAGAGAAAATTACTGCCAGTTCTTTCATCTGTCAAAATCCTGTCATTTCTGCCGTGTGACCCATTGTGACTCAGGAGATGGAGAGAGGCTTTGATTTTATTGTCACTTTCTTTTCTTTTAACTCTCTGGAGCAACCTCCTCTCTGCTTCTCTGCATGTCACACGGGTATTGTTACATAATTGCTTGAGTGCTGAATGTGAGATGTTTTATCCTCTTCAGGTCCCATTTGTCAAAAAGGGAATTCTGCAACAAAACTTTCTGAATCCCTGAAGGTTTTGTTTGGCATGCTGATAAATGATGGGCTATTCTAAATGCTTATTTAAAGTACACAGTACATACTTACAAACATACATAAACACAAGCAAATAAATAAATGTTGATTGAGTGATGAATGGCAAACTGTATTCTCTGGGACCATAACAAAACTGCTTGACCAAGGCAAGGGGATGGAATATAAAACCCCAGACTTTGGTGAATATACTCTTTTGCAGTATCTTTGTATTTGACACTTTTTGATTTTTTTTATAAAGTCAATGTCTTGTGCCTCCTTTGAGAACCAAGAAGCTCATTCTCAAATCTATCAAGAAAGGATCATTGGCTTATTTTCACCCGTGTTAGTTATCTCATTCACTTCACATGTGTTAAAATATTGTAATTATCAGGGTGTAACATCATCCCAATAGTATCAGGAAAAGAAAGGCTAATTTCCTTTACCCCAGGCAAAGTCATTTATCTTCACACCTGAGTATGACACTATTGCCCTGCACACAAAATGCTATTTCATTAGTGTGTAAATCCTGCTTCACCTGTCATTTGGTGTTTGCCTTTCTCCATCCCACTTCAGAGAGCTTTTTCTTACATAAATTAATAGAACACATTCTAATTTGTGACCAAATATGCTTATAACAATGCATATGCTGCTGTTCCTTAATACTCTTCCTTTTTTTTATATGTATATTAATTCAATATTTATCCAGTAAATAAAGAAAAAAGAATGTCCAGTTATTATAAAGTACACTGGTTCCAAAGCCAGGGCAGCTGAGTCTGAGTCCTGACTGTCTCCTTATTTGCTGTAAAGCATTCTATTAGATATAATCTCCTTGCATCAGTTTTCTCCTCTGAAAATGTGGATGAAGTGATATAGCTTAGTGATTTTTATATGATGATGAAATCAACACATATCCAATGCTTGGAACAATGCTTCACATATAGTATTAGTTCTTTATAATTCATCAGCATATCATCTATATGACGAATAATGTTAAATTGCTCAGAAGCTCTATTGAGGAGTTATCTTGTGCTCTTGAAATTTTATTTGCAAATTTATGCTTTGTAAGTCAGAGCAAAAAGATCTAGCCTCCTAATTTGCTGTTAATTTGACAGAAAATGCTTTGTAGTGAAGAGTTTAAATTAGATTGAATACTAGTTCTTTGGTGCATATTTAATGAGCATCTCTGTAAGTTTCCATTTCCTACTTTATAAAATGAGATTTTATATCTGACTCAAAGAATTGACGATGGGACTCCCCAGCCTTCTTAGTCAGGACAAATGTAGAAAATAACAATGTTAAGTAACTCCCTTGGGTCTGAAGGCCAGGTCACCTCAACCGTAGTCCTGTAAGTTTCTCCACTTGCCACATTGGGGCTCCCTCCTCAGCACCCCAGGGAGCAATTCCTTCCTTGGAACACACACATGGGGTCCATGTTTGCCAGAGCGACTGGCACAAGGAAAACACCATGTTAGTTGCGCTTGGCTCGCTCACATTAACGAGACTTGGCTATGTCTGGGTGAAACGACTCTTCCAAAGTCTGAAGGGTGTTTGCTGTGTGTAACTTTGGTCATTCTTGTGTGGCTTTATCACACCCTCATCCATTTTTCATTTTCCGCGGGCTAGGAAACTCAGTACAATGTAAACACAAATGATATTGAATACAAATAATCTTTCAAGTGTTTGAAATGATGTTCACAATGCTGATAAAGCGAACTGTGGAGCTCTTCCCTCGGGAAAATATAGGAAACCAGTGACAATAAGAAGCAACAATCACAAGGAACAAAGGAAACCTTCTTGCTATTTCTCCCTTGTTGTTTGAGAATGTCATCTGGGTCTGGTTCTTCTCTCTCATGCTGGAGACCAGCTTCATACTTTCTCTGGACACTGTCTTCATGAAAAGAACTTCAGTCACTTTATTCTCCAGAACAGGCTCCATTTAAGCCATGAAAACCGCTAGTTGGTGCAGCAATGGCCAGCTGAGTGGATTTAGTCGATGGTTTCCTCTCACAGCCTGGCCCCGGCAGGAAGCCTGCAGTGGGAAGGGGCTACTGTTGCTTTGTCTCTTGACTCATCCTGGGACTGGTATTTTCTCTCTTGGAACTCTTCGAGATGTTGTCCCTACCTCCCACGACTAAGAGCTGGTCACTTACAACTTCTTACACAGCTCCCAGATGGACAGATTTTAGCATCTTGGGTATCTTTTCAAGAGGTCGTTCTGACTCTCCAGGTGATCCTTGGACACCCAGCGTCAGACAACTCCTCCCATCCTGCTAAGCCGGGCTCCTAGTTGCACTGAAAACACAATAGTAAAGTTGTTATCAGTGCCAGCGCTGGTTTCCAGCAAAACATAACCCCAACTCTGCTGTAAGAAGGCATTACAGGCAGCTTGTGACCATTGAGATTCCTGGGGTATAAGCCGTCAGTTCACTCTGTCTTTCAAACGCAGGGAACCTATATCAAGTTCCTTGGGGATCAGTTGAACCTTCTCACTAGCAGATACCTTTCAGACTCTTCATTCATTCTTGACTGGGTTTGTGTGTTGTGGAGGCGGGGATTACATAGCACAGCTCTCCCCAGAGAGCTTCGCCAGCCTTCAACTTTCCTAACACTTCAATTTCAAGCCTTTTATATTTTCTGTGAGTGCCTTAATGTTATGAAAACATTCTGGAACCCTCTTTGCATGTTCTGATGGCTGGCTAGTACTGACGACACTAAGACTGGCTAATCTTAAGTCCACTCCTAAAACTAATCAGAATTACTGGCTATATTTAGAAAATTTAATTATCTAGATACGTGACTTCATGCAGGTGAGACATAATTTAATATCAAGAAAACGTCCTTTTTAAAAATCATGGTTCATATAGAAATGTCTAGGGCTGATACTATAATTTAGATGAATTCATCAATTGAATTAAATCATTAGCCAATAGAGTTTCAAATTATGCTGGAGAAGATAATTACACTTTGGATGATGTGAGTTGGAAATGATGTTTACAATTTTAGCAGACAAGACTGGAATTCAAGGCAACCCTGATAGGATATTAGAGCACAGATAAATGATTATTCCTGTTTCCTTAATTCTGGGAGGTTTGCCAGATTCCTACTGATTATGCTGCAACCAGGACATCCTGGTGCCTTGGTTGCCCAGCAACCATTCTCCTCCCATTTTTTTTCTCTCGCAGAGGTGCAGAACACAGTGTCGTATGGGATTGAAGTCAGCAGATAAGACATTCAGTCTCATTTTATCAGCCAGGGCTTGCTTGGTATGGACACAGACACAAATTTAATGTCAGACAAATTCAAATTCAAATATGACCTTGGAAAACATAATTAACCTCTCTAAGTTTGCTTTAAAGCTGAATGTTGTATATTAGTCACATATCTAAGTCTTCTAAATGGAATTGCCCCATTCACTGTTCACTGCTTAGGAGGGCAGCTCTTAAGACATTCTTTAAATGGAGATAGCTGCTCATCACACAGAGGTCAGCTGGCATGTTCCCTAGGAGAGAGCAACCAAAGTTTTGCCAACAATCCAGAGAGGTGTTCTGGAAAGCCCTCTGCCAAAGGAAGGCGATGGCAGTTAGCCAGTTAGTTGGTTCATTTTTCATTCAAAAATTAGTTAAGACTTCAATAGTAAAGGTAAACATGATCACAGCAGTCATATAGCTTAGAGTCAAATGGGTGTGTTGTAAATAGGAAATAGACAAGATGTTTACAGGCTGTGATTATTGCTAGGATAGAAGCAGAAAGGGACAAAGGTGATTGATTAAAAAATAATAATAACAAGAGGAGACCTAACGTAGGTTGAAGGAATCCTCTTGAAAATGGGGCAGTTGCAAGATGAGACTCCAAGAGGTCAGCAAAGAAGAAATCTTAGGCTGGGAAAGAAAGTGGAATGGATCAAAGGCATTAAAGCATGAGGTAGGGATGGGGTTTCCTTTAGGGACTCAAATTGGGCAGAGCATGGGAGGGAAATGTGAGGCATAGTGGTGTTAGCTGGGTGAAGGGTCCCCAAATCCCTTTTTAGGGTGGTGCTCAGGCATCTCAGATTTATAAAGGCCTGATCTGAGATCTTCCAGTGACAGTACTATGCAAATCAGGGGAAATTCTCTACTATTCTTTTTCTTTCCAAGGCAATTCACATTAAATGTGCTAAGAAGCAAGGATGTCAGCTTGAAATGCAAAGCACATGAACACAAAAAGGAATCCTCAATTTCTAAGAGCAGAGACCATTCATGGTTAAGTCTCAGCACAGCATGGGGCATGTACAGCAAGTGCCCCATAAACATGCGTACAGATCATAGGACATGGATTAAGGAATGGTCCGGTCACAAAAGAAAGGTGGAACAATGAGCCCTTCATTAAATCCACTCCCAAAGCATAATTAATTATTGTTTAAAATATTCCCCAAAAGCCAGGACAAAAGGTACTGTGAAAATCATAACTACATTGTTATAAAGTCTACAGACTCCTTCCATAAATATGTATCTGGTCGCTTCATTTTCATGTCTTCATTCGCGTCGTTAAAATATTTATTTTTTCATTGTTATTGTCAAACTTATTTATAATAAGCAAAATATGAGAGTTTATCATTGTTTGTAAAAGGGAAGAAGAACTGCCTGTGAACCAGGACTCTATCATTAATGCTGTGACCTCTAAAACACAGAGGATTTTCTCATGACAAATTAGAATGCGTATCATTTGGAGAAGGCAAATAAAATTGTGCTGTTACAGATTACAGTATAAAGAGTCCATTAGCTTCTAGAGAAGGATGGATTTTTTTCCCCAGTAGTTGCAGGTAGAGAATATTTTCAAAGCTTTTTTCTTTTGACCTAGAGCCCCACCTCACATCCTACCACCAGTTCTAATTGAGTTCACAACCATAACTAATGTACTGAGTGTGTAGATTGTTTTGAAATTCTCCTGACAACAACATATGTTAATACTCATATTTTAAATTTAAAATCATGGCCAATTTTAATTTTTTCCAAAGCAAAAGATCATAATCACTGAATAAAAGAAAAGAAAAACATTTATCACCCCACTTACCAAGTGATAAGTACAGTATCATTTTTGTGTGTTTCAGATCTTCTATTTATTACTATGAATACATATTTCATATTTTTACATAAAGCCAAACAATCAGAAATGAAATGACTATATCATAACTAATTTTACTAGGCTCCCTTGATTGGAATCGGATGTGATTCCATTAGGTAAGTGCAGAACATTCTGTGGAAAGATTTGTTAGGACAGGATTGTAAAGTCCATTGACTCTGGGGTAAGATATTCCACTTTAACTTATAAAAGGGAGTCATTTGAAGGTTTCTGTGTGAGGAAATAAAATGAAAATCATGACATCTGCTATGCACATATACATGGTCTATATTTATTAAAAATCTAAGAACTACAATTAGAAAAGAGAATTAGATTCTTTTGTAAAATCCTCCTACACATAAAACCTATGGTGTGAACAGAATTGTTCCCTGAGACACCAATTTTACTTGGTTCTTGCTGCTGTAGACAAATCAGAGGGTGAGTTCCTATTGGAAAGTTCCTTTTCTCTTGCCATATGCCCCATATTTAGGGACTCGTGTGATAGAAATGTATTTGACTTCTTCTTCTATTTCAGAACTCACCATGCCAAAGTCATTCTGTGTGTGAGATTGGAGTCCCTTCTAGGCTCTGTCTTTTGGAAACAGTGTCACATCCTCTACTCTCTCGAGCTGTGACCTTTCTGAGTGGGCTCTGCCCCTGCTGAGGAGACCTGAAGTTGTCCAGCTGTTTCAGTGAGTAAGTTTGTCTAATTCTCAAGAGGTAAAGTATTTATAAGACCACTTGGCCTTGCATCTAAAACCACATTCTCCAGTCAACTGTGTCAGTCACGAAGCTGACCTTTCACTCTCTGTGCTGATAATTTCCGCCTACCTCTCAAATGGTTTTGAAATAATGAGGCGAAAAAAAGAGTGATTTGCCTCTTCCCACAATAGAGCGTAAAGGTGATATGAGACAAAAAGTAAAAAATACCTAGATTTTTAAAAATTAATTAATTTTTTTATACAAGCACTGGGTACAGTCGGAAGTGCGGGAGGGTGAAAGAATTCACCAGAGCCAGAGCAGGGAGCAGAACAGGACGACTGATGAAATACACTGCTGAGGGGAGCAGCGGGCACAGCAGGAGACGTCTGCATGCCTTGTGGGACCCTTGCCAGGGGCTGGGGATCGAACCGGCACTGCAGAGGCTGCTGGCAGCTTCGCAGCCCAGCGCTCAACCGCTGCGCCACCAGGGAGACCCTAGATGGTTTTTTTTTCTAATTTTTGTTTCAAAAAGTCTGACCTCTGGAGGACATTGCACAAGTACAGGGGAGGGAATCCCACCACTTTGAAGAAGGTACGTGAAGTTCCCTAAGTCTGAGGTAGAATCGCCGTCTGTCAGGCTTTTGGTGTCCTAGTCTGTGCCCGGCTCTCTTGCCACATCTGGTATTGGTAGTTTAATTAGCGAGACCTGGAGGAAGGAGTGTAGGTGCATCTCATAAAGCAAACATGCGGCTGAGTCCTAGCTCCGCAGAATCCAATGCCCAGATCTGGTGGGAAAGATGCTGAGGGCCTGGATTTAGTGTGGAAGGACAAGTCATGTAAGTTTTCCTGGTATGGTCCTGGTTTACTTGATGTTAATCTGTAATACTTTTTAAGTGCACTCCCTTTCATAACCAAGGGTAATATTTTGGAAACTTAATTATATAGTTAAAACCTTTAAGACACCAGTCAGGGTTGTGTAGTAGGATTCTAGTAGTGAACAGCCTGGGCAATGGTGAATGGATTAGAATCTGTCAACTGCATCACTGAAGTGCGAATCTTCATCTTTCCAGCCTGGCAGGTAGGTCATATTTTAAATTCTTCCACAATATCATGGAGAGATTTCCCATGAGCACCCACAGGTTCAGTAAAACCCAGGAATGCCTAGTGTTTAGGACTAAATGTTTGTGTCCCTCCAAATTCATGTGTTGAAATTCTTTTTTTAAAAAAGATTTATTTATTTATGCATACAAGAACTGGGGTGTCAGCCAGAGGTGGTGAGGAGTGAGAGGATTTGCCAGAGAGAGCAGAACAGGCAGATCTACGGGAATATACTGCTGCGGGGAGCAGCAGGAGGAGACAGGAGAGGTCTGCTGTGCCTTGTGGGTCAGTTCCCTGGCTGACCTGGGATTGAGCTCATGCTGCAGTGCCTGGGGATAGCCTGATAGCACTCTGTCTTTAACCCCTGCACCACCAGGGAGGCCCTCATGTGTTGAAATTCTAACAACAATTATTGATGCTAAGAGATGGGGTCTTTTGTGGAGTGCTTAAATCATAAAGTTGGCTCCCTCATGAGTGAGATTAATTCCCTTAACAGAAGAGACACAGAGCTGGCTACCTCTCTCCTCTCTTCATTATGAGGAAATAAGAACATGGTGGCTGTAAAGCAGGACAAAGATTCTCATCAGAATCAGCCTTGTGCACTGATTTGGACTCCCAGGCTCCAGAACTGTGAGAAATGCTTGTTAGTTAAACCATCCAGTCTGCTGTATTTTGTTACAGTGACCAGAACTGATCAAGGTACCTAGGCATTTTATATGGAAGAAATCACGTTCAACTACTTAATCATCGCTGCTTCCTTAAGTGCTACTCTCCCTGTTCCTTGCTCTTTCGCCACACTGCTCTCCTTGATGTTCCTTGTTCCTTGAACTTGTCAGTCAGGCCCCTATGTTGGACTTCCCTGTTGATGTTTCCTCTTCTTGGCATGGTCTTTCCTTACACATTTGCCTCATTGCTTTCTCACCTAAGACACTTCTCCGCTCAGATATCACCTTGATACTGAGTTTCCCAGAGTAACTCCAGGAAGAAGCATCCCACCGCCCCTTCCCTTGTCTTTGTATGACCTTGTCCCTTACTGTGTTTTATTTTTCTCTGCATCATTTTTAATAATTATTGGTATACACTATCTTTGCTTGTCTAGCTGATTTTTCACTATTTTCTCTCCCTATAAGGTAAGCTCCAAGAGGTTAGGGACTTGTTTTCCTGGATATAGCCCCAGCTTCTTCAACAGCATTTGGCACATAGTTGGCACTTGATAAATATATGATCGGTTAAAGAAAAAAAATAGCCAAGAATGGAAATTATTGGCTAAACATGGAAACTTGATTGTTAAATAGAATGGGAAATGGGGCTTTGATTTTCATATTTAATTGCCCAGAACATATATATATATATACATATATATATATTTAATCTAAATTCATAGAGTTCCAAATGAAGCAGGCAATTGTCTAGTTGGATGTTTCTTTGAAAAATGTAGTTGGATTATTTAAATCTTACATGAAAATTGTAAGATCGTGATTGCCCGATTTGGCTATTTCCATACATTCTGTTAATAAAAAATTTTCCAAAGTTCTTCCATAATTTCTGATGTCTAATGGTAAGAAGAGAAAGAATTAACAGCAAATGAACAATTGTATTTATTGCATACTTCCTATAGGCTATTATACAGGCAGAACACTCTGTTCTAACTATATATCTGTCTAATCATCTATCTACCTATCTATTCGATCACACACCATATACCACGCATGTAAAAATTCGTCTAAAAATTTAGAGAACTGAGAAAAGATATTTTTACATGAATTATTCAGTTTTGCCTCAGGTTGACTATACTTTCTGGTAAGATAAGATTTTTGAATTCAATTAAGAGTGGTTTAAAATAGCACCTAAATGCAGTCCCTTAAAAGTACTAATATCATATGTTTTGCTAAGCATAATGATAAATCTGTCATCTTAATCTGCCTTTCTCTATCATTAATTATAATGCAGCTATTAGGTTAACAATGATGTTGCTAAATAAGGTACACTAATTTTACATTAGGATTAAATGTTAAGGAAAATTACATCTTCCTTGAAGAAAATTATTGAAGTATAAATATAGTATAATAGTGTCTGACAATACTTTTCAGAGAACGTCAGGGAACTCTTTTTTAAATAGAAAGAGGGGACTGAGGACATATGTACTGAATAATCCAGTACATTATAATAAGTAAATAAAATAAAAAATAGCATTATGGAATATAGAGAACTTGGAGTAATAAAATAGTTACCATGGGACCTCGAGAGGTCACACAGTTAAGAATTCTGGCATATTAAAATTTCCATTTAAGTCCATAAATCACTGGAGAATTCAAACACTTAAGATATGTCAGACGGAGAGAGCTGAGTGTAAAAGCAACGACACTTTAAGCAGTCTCTCTCGTTTAGATCCCCTCTACTGCCTTAACATAGAAGTGAAAATATTTATTTGGATAACTGCTGGAATTTGGAAATGAATTTGTTTGCAAAATGTCAGTAACTTTGATCTAAATCAAGGGTCAGCAAACTAAGGGGCCAGATAATTTTAGGCTCCTTTTGCCAGATGGTTTCTGTCACAACTTCTCATCTCTCCTATTACAGAGAAAAAGCAGTCTCACACACTGTGTAATCAAATGGGTGCGGCTGTGTTCCAATAAACTCTGATTGTAAAAAAAAAGGGTGGCTGGCCACATCTGGCCCACACCATAGTTTGCTGAGCACAAAGTTGGGTAAAAGGAGGCAGTTGTATGGTGGACTTTTTGTGCTAAATCTAATGTGGTCTGTACAGATGTTGATTTATAATGATGCACATCTAAATCTTACATAATGTTGTAATGCAACATTACCTCAATGAAAAGATATTGTAAAGAAAGAGTGACTAGTGCCTTTAAAGACTTGCAGTTAATTCTTAGGTGCAACTCTTTCTTGGTAGTGTTCATGTGAGCTATTCTTGTTTTTGATTCTTAAAATGAATTCTGAATAAGTTGAATAAGGTAATCTCTTCCTTAATTCATATGTTCTTGTTTTGATGTGCAGCTTGTGAAATTAGACAGATATTTATCTGTTACTTACTGCAGGTCAGCCACTGCTCTAAGTGCTGTAACACCCCCTCATGATAAAAGAATCAGTGACAATTAGTCTTTTGGTGGGGATCATAACATAGCATATGCAGATGTGGAATTATGATACTATATATACACTTGAGACTTACATAATGATATAAACCAACACATTTCAATACTTTTAAGGAAAAGAATTGATTAAATAGAAAAAAATCTTAGTTTTCTAAAGGTGATTTTTCAATCAAAAAATAAATCATTCATGTAATTAAAAACAAAATAAAAAATTTCTGATTCATGCTACTTATATCCCAGTGGGGAAGGGAGGTGAAGAGAAGGATAATAAAAATAAGCATAATAAACAAATTGCATATAACTTTAGTAGGTGATACTTTGGAAACATAAACTTGGGACAAGGTAAAGATGATAAAATGGAATAGAACATGAGTGGTATTTTATTATATTACCTGGAGAGAACAAGATAGCTGTCTTTGTGGGTAAATTTTAGCAGAAGATCAAGGTGATGGCCAGGTAGCTATCTGGAAAGAGCATCCTAGTTCAGGAAAGGCTAGAGCAAAGGCCTGTTACTACCTGAACTGGGAAGAGACAGGGACTAATGTGGCTGGACAGGGTGATCAGTGAGAGAGGACAGTGGAGGACGTGAATGAAGAGTTAGATCCTGGAGTAAAAGCAGGAGGAGGGTGTAGAAAGACATTGTAAGGCCTCTTCTTTGGCTTTGAAAGGAATGAGGCCCTCTGCAGAATTCTAAGTGATGATTGACATCACTACTTTATATCATTAAAGGGGTTTTTATGGTATAAGATCTTAAACTGGAAGAAAATATGATAGAGGGTAAAG